CACACACACACACACACACACACACACACACACACACACACACACACACACACACACACACACACACACACACACACACACACACACTGAATTACTTTCACATCTTTCTCATGTGTCTGACTATATCTTTATTTGGAACTAAATGTAACTTCGACAGAATTGGAATAGACTATCACCTGAAGTCACAAAGAGAAAATATAAAGGAAGTAGCATAAGAAAAGATATATATGGTTTTGTGAACAAAACTCAATGTTCTGCTGTCTTCATCCTTCCTGTTTATCCACCTCTCTGTTTCTCACTGTGATATGATCCAGATATCCTGTGTGTGTGTGTGTGTGTGTGTGTGTGTGTGAGATCTGGTATTTTACAACCGTTAAGTAGGTCTGTATTGGCTGAGATGCCAATCTGTGACTGCTAGAGTTGTGCTTCTCTGACAGTGAACTAAAGGAAAGAGATCCTTAGATGTTGAAAACAGATGTGTTGAGGATGCATTTTTTGTGTTCATTCATACAATTGTTATTCATTTTATAGTGTGTATCCTTATTTGGTTTTGTTGTATTCTGTATGTAACCTGACACTGTGGCGGCAGACAGCATCCTCTCCGCTCTGACATTAGATTATCCTCCAGATGGAGTCAGATTATGGGCTGAAATGGACAATCTAATGACCGGTCAGGAAATGTACCAATATCCCTAAAACCCATCTAGAGTCGTCTGTTCAGGGACAGGAACTCAATGAACTGACAACTCTGAATATATCATTTGGAGTTCAGGATGTTAAAAAGCATGTCAACCCAAAATTAAATTTGCTAGAATCCACACAGTGAGATTAAATTCTCCAATATATGTTTTCCTGATACTAAAAGTTAAAGTAATGCGTTATAGTATATTTCACTACAGACTAAATGCTGCCCTCACCCCTATACTTTTGGGACTCAGATTGATCCGTTTCTCCACATACTCATTATTAGTAAAGTTTCAGACTGAAGTATTACACAGATTAAAGTCTGCAACGTTTGAATCATGGGAAAGGGCAAGCAGGGTGCCAGGAGGAGAAAGTGGAACTTAAGTTTACTGAGTACCGTTTTCAGCAGCTGCACAGAGAGATGTTCCCTATTCATGAGAGAGTGACCTTAGCACACTGTCACTGCTCCCCTCCACCTGCAGTGATTTATTGGTCACAGAACGCTGGGCAGCCGGATGATGTTGTGCACGGAGCAACACGTGACCGCCCCCCCCCCCTTCAGCCTTTGTCCTTTCCTTTCAACTCGGTCAACTACATAAGGAACAAACACACACAAATGTTCTGCCAAAAAAGTCCATCCAAAAAGCTATAATTGGCCAATCCTAACCATTGAACACCAGGCATCTTTGTGTGGTAGTCCTGAAGTCATTTGTCAAGCCGAAATGCTGAAAAAACTTTGTTGGCTCTGGCTTCTTTAATATGCCGATGCAACACCCCGTTGCTTTGTGTTTTGCACTGTTGAATGGAAAGCAAATTTCAAATGTCCCCTTGTTTAAAGGGGCTACACTATTGTCATTTTCAGGTTTCATAATTGTATTTTGTGCCTCTATTGTGACTTATTTACATGCTTTAATGTACAAAAAGTGCCTCTTTTCACCCTCTCTCTGAAACGAGAACCCAGTCTGCTCTGATTGGTTAGCTGACAGGCTTTGTTGTGATTGGTCAACTGCTGAGAGATGTCCTAATCCTTAGCCCAACATGTGTAATGTTTTGGAGCGCTAGCCAATAGAAGCGCACGTGTTACATACTGATGTCACTATATTACGGAAGTAAACAAAGGATTCCAATTAAGGTGTTTCAGGCAGGGGGAGGGTTTTAGCCTACATATCATTGAAATGCACAAAAACCTATACAACACTCTAGGAAAGGGAAAACCCAAGAAAGCATACTAAGGCCCCACATTTATTTTTTCATAATCATGCCCATGCTTGTTACAACAACAAGGATAACATCATGCAACAATATCTTCTCTGTACCCTCGGTTTGTTTTATTTTCGTGGCGTCTCATGATTTCGTGGGGATATTTTCATTTCGAGACAGTGTGTATCAAAGAAGATGAGACTGTTTGTTTGAGGACACAAACAGGAGACAGGAGGTATCCTCAGCAGAGAGAAAAAAGAGGCACAGGAAACAGAAACAAAGAAAGAAAATGTAGAAAAAAGCAAGCCGTCGCATATCACAGCACATGAAAATGGAGGTACCAAATCACTCCAAAGTTCAGAGACGCAAATGTTTTACAAACTACCCGGCTGCGGCAAACATAATCAACAGGATCTTGTTTATAGAAATTACATTTTCCATGCAGTGCCATTTAACCCTCAAAAGAATAGCTTTCATATGCATTAAAGGCACATGCTTTAAAAACTAGTGCCACTATACTGAAAAGGAATCTAACTTCGATACAACCAACGTTAATACGAGGCCGTCTCCGATACCAAACTCCGGTGCTGATAAGGCTCCGGTGAACGGCCGCCCAATCTTTTTAGGACTAAACCCCCCAGAATCTACACGCAAGATCAACGTAATCTGTTTAGGGGGGCATTTACAGCGTGGCCTCTAACACCAAACTGCCCGTCGTATCCCTATTTTAGGCACTCCAGCCTCGGATGTCCGACCGCTAGGATAGCAAAACGGAGTGTATAGTGTAGTAGGTGTTGGTGGCCTGGTAGAACCCCAGAGCAGTATCTAAACTGCCTTTTAAAATGAGTGTTTTCTAAATGGAGATCGGCTAAGCTAACGCATATGTGCTCCGACCGTCCACACTCACAACAACGGCCTACAGACATAAATAAACCAGCGACTGTATTCGCCATGACACAGGCAGTCTGTGGTTTGTACTTGTTTAACTTTTGTCTAGTTTCTGAACAGATATGAAGAGCTATGAGCTTGAGTGCTAACAGCTAATGGCTGATGTTGTTTTTCTGTGGTTCTCATTGAAGATGACGTCACGGCTCCGCCTACACTGCGTTACTTACTGCCCCAGCTACTAAACTGTAATGGAAACGCAGCATAAAGTGAGCCTAACAAGGCCTAACGAGGCCTAGCCATACCGAGTGAGGCCGAGCGAGGCCCTGTAGTGGAAATGCGCCATAAGACCAAGCAGATACCTTCAGAGACCACGAGAGAGACCAGGAATTGGATCGAAATGTACAAAGTACAAACCGGTTTTATTAAGGTTTTAACAAAAATATAGGATTTACACAAATCCAAAAAACACAAAGTCAAAATACAAAAACAACAGGTTCACAAGTCAAATGTCCTAAAGCTGTCTAAAAGAGCCCAGGCCCAGGGCCCAAGACCCGGAATCCAGCTTCCAAAAACTTCCCCCAACCTCTCAAGCTCTCAAGCCTCCAAGCCTTCAAGCCTCAAAAAGCCTAAAAAGCCCCCCTTTCTCTTCACACATCATCTTTTATAGTCTCTTGCCTCCTCCCTCTCTGCATCAGGTGGGTTCCCCTTTTCTATCTTTGAGGGGAAAGGAGGTCACATATGTTCAACTTTTACTGCATGAACAATTACAAATGTAAAGACTTATAGTAATAATATGCAATTTTAAGAAGAGGGAATATTAACATTTTTCATGAAAGCAGAACACCTAGTTAGGATGCCACCTGGGCGCCTCCCTAGGGAGGTGTTCCAGGCACGTCCAGCTGGGAAGAGACCAAGGGGTAGACCTAGGACCAGGTGGAGGGATTATATCTCTTCGCTGGCCTGGGAGCGCCTTGGGATCCCCCAGTCAGAGCTGGTTGATGTCGCCAGGGAAAAGAAAGTTTGGGGCTCTCTGCTGGAACTGCTACCCCCGCGACCCGACCACGGATTAGCGGGAGAAGATGGATGGATGGATGGATGAAAGCAGAACACATTGTCAATGTCATGTTTAGAATCAAGTTTAAACATTTAATTTCAAATATGCAAACTTTATACTTTAATTTATTAACAGAGACTTCATTTATTAACAGAGACAATAAGGACAGCTTGTCTCTACGATTCGCTGGCCCAGGAAGTTGATTTGAATCTTTGCGTAGGTCGCCTGCATCCTGTGCTTCATTGTCTTCATACCCGCTGTAACCGCTCTCAACGTGTCAAAAACCACAAGCACCTTCTCAGAATTGTGGTTGGAACTTTTACGCTTTTATTGCACCATCTAGAATGCGTAGTGCGCATAGGTCAAAAGTTCAGAATGTTCTATCTAGTTTCACATGCCTGGTTTCACGTCTGAAAAGACACATACATCCTTTCCATTTACAGACAATGTAGCATCTTTGTATCAATGGTAAGCTTAATAGAGGTAGGTGAGGTAAAGGTCAGGTCTGACACGGCCACTTAAACAGCAGAACTGTCAACAATACACTTTGAAGTTTTTTTGAAAACTCTACATATATGAAAAAAACATGATGCAATGCACTGCCCAATTTTGTGTGTGTCAACTGTAAGTGTGTGTTTTGAGAGCTAATGATGTGTGGAGCATTGCTCTGTGTCTCTCATTCAGCAGCAGATGTTGGCCTATTATCCAAGATTTTATTTTTTTCTACATTGTCGCTTGGTGTGTGCAGGGAATAACAATCACAGTAAAACTTCCAATCAGATTTTTACTCAGTCTAACCAAGAGTTCCAGAGAAATACTGGATGGCACAGATTTATCTTCAAGGCTGATTAACCTGTCTATTTTCAAGTCCAGTTGACATGTTTTTACGACAATCTGTGCTTTAAAAGTCAAACTGTTTGTCTAACCCCACTGCAGTGCTCGTTAAACTTGATTATTCCAACCCTGTTCTTGGTGAACCAACATTTCTCATAGTTTTATTTCTCAATGGTCTCACTCTCCACACAATAACGCTCGGTATGTTTTCATGAGCGCGGGTCGCTGAGAATGATCCCAAGGTGGAAAGAGCTGCAGTGGCTTATTATAGAAGATGGATTCAGTTTTTTTACATCAGCATAAAATATCTAACAATAGCTTTCTCTCTCTCTCCCCTCAGCCTTATCTCATCGAGACGTTATTACTTTGAGGTCCTCCACAAGCAGGATGACAAGGGCTCGGATCACGTGGAGGTTGGGGTAAGTGGAGCTATCCAATCATGTGAGCTCCTTGCTTCCTTGTCTACATCTCATTTCCCTCTTAGTCATTTTATTCTAGCTGACTCTAAAAGGGTCATATACCATAGATGATATATACCATAGAGCAGGAACTAAACAATGTACTGATGTGGATGGGATGTAAGCAAAAGGTGTTTCAGCAACCTAAATTGTATGCTATATGTAGAAGATTTCCACCGTTTCGCATTGCCATAAGGCATCACATTTTTGACGGGGAGCTGAAGCTATTATAACATCTATGCTCTCGGCATTGCCTCTAGGCTCCATCGGGATTTTATTTTTATTTTACCATGCAGAACAAAGGGGTTAGTCAGGTGTACTGCTGCCTCTATCAGTAAGTTTGTTTCTGATATTGTTTGACTTCGTTAGTTTGGATTCACCAAAGTCACACAATAAAACTGATTAACTAACCAATGAAGGCAGCAGTAGACCGGCAACCCCTGTGTGCTGTGAGGTAAAACTAGTGTTTTTTTCACTGGAGTCTGGTAACTTTGGTGAGAGCATAGATAACCATTTCAAAAAACAAAGACTCTATATCCGTCTTATGGCAACTTAAAGTGGTTAAGATATTCTGAATATAGCATACATTTACACAAACATTGTTTTTAGTAGACATTTTGCTGACATTCCCGTCCACAGCAGCACGTTGCTTTCCTTTTGTGTGGTAACTTTTCTCTAAACTGGAGGCATGCATTCCCCCATGTACAGTATGTAGTGCATTGACTATGGATAAGTACCATCCCTCAATCATATGAAAAGGCTTTCACCTGTCTTGAGAAAACTTGACCTTTGGTAGGATATTTGCATATTCTTGCTCCTACCCTTTATGTAACAGTGTCAGAGTGCTGGCTGAGCTGGTGGAAATATCTCCTCTCCCAACATTCCTGTGCATTCCGTTTCATTTTCCTCCTGTTTCCATGGTCTCACCTGATCAAACCTTTATGCATGGATGCCCTCCTTTTTTCATGCTGTCTTTTGCTACGAAATGGTATAGAGCAACTATTTCTTCTGCTTCTCTTCCTCTATCTCTCCCACGGCACTTCATTGGTTTTTCCTGCCTCTGTCTTTATCTTTGTTCTGTACTGCCTCTTCATCTCTATCTTTCCTTTTTCTCTTCACGTCCACATTCACTTCTCCTCTGCACCATTTCGTTCTCAGTAGTGGTGTTCTGCACCTCAGGCAAAGCTCAGAGATGAGTGGAGCTTAATATCGAGATGGAGTTTCAAACGAGAGCCCACACGCCTTGTGTGAGCCTGTACTTTGAGTGGGAGGGTACAGGGAAAAAAGAGATCACTGATGCGTGTGTGGAATGAGTCTCTTAACAAGCCCCAGGTTATCGCTATCATGGTGACCATCATCATCATCAGCAGTGCTGCTAGAGTTGTTCTCTTCTTTCACAAAACTTTTGTGTCATATTTACACCTTGGAGGTTAATGATTTTTTACTTCCCTCATTCTATCTTTATCACTCACAAACTTTGAGTGCTTCTGGCTAATTCCCTCTACCTTTATTTATGCCTTAATATTAGTTTGTGTTAGTTTCTTCCTGGGTCTTTTTCAGAGGGGGAAGAAGTACTCAGATTGTGTACTTAAATAAAAGTAGAACCAACATAATTATATGTTTTGATTATAATTATTGATGCATTTAAAGCTGGTAAAGATGGAGCTAATTGAAATCCATTCATATGGTGCAAGGTAGCTTGTGGATTTACTTTAGGTGTGATTAGCGTCTTAAGTGTTGATTACATTTCATATCAATCATTCAAATCTGCAAAGTAACTAAAGGTATTATAATAAATGATGTGGAGTAAAGATACTCTGTTGAACTCTGAATTGTAGTAGGGAAGAAGTACAAAGTAGCAAAACATGTAAATACTGACTTAAAGTACAATTACCTCAAATTGTACTAAAGAACAGTACTTGAGTAAATGTACTTAGTTACTTTATATAACTGGTCTTAACTTTTCTGTCATACTTTTGTTTTTCCAACCTGGCATTCATCAATTCAACACTCTAACTGTTGCCACACTTTCCACCCCTGCTGTGTCCTTTCAGTTTTTCTCTTGTCTTAAACCTTCAGTCTGTGCAGTGTTATTCTGCTCTGCGTGGCTCCTGGGTGCAAGTTCTTAGAGAGGAGTTGACAGGGTGATGTGAGGAGCACCATGCTGAACTCCGATAGCTCTGTGGTGCCAAGAGGATCACACTTGAACCCAATGAAATGTGGACGGATGACTTTGTGTGTATGTGTGTGTGAGAGAGAGGGAGGCATGCATCTACTTTACAACCATACTGACACTTGGATCTCCATTCTGTCTTGGTAATGGTGAATTTGCTGGTAACTTCTTATGACAGTGTTTTCACACGGGCCGTATGGCAGGTCTCCCAAGTGCTATGCTGTTGCTATGGGATGCTGTGGGTTCTTGATGTGGGTGTGTTATGAATATTCTGCTGATGATGTGCAAGTGTGACTAATAAATTACTGCCCATGACGGCCACATCCCAGTGGCAAACAAATTAAACTTTATTTAGAGAGCCTCTGTATAGAATAACAAACTCAGTTGGTGGGACGCAATTCAATAACAGCAGAGAAATATTCTGGTATTATGGACTTGTTGCTGGACTTGTGAAGCCGACTGGTCAATGCCAATGTGGAGGGTAGAGTCCTATGGCTGGATAATGTAAACCTCTGCAAATCACCTCATTTCAATTATTTCAACGAGACATCTACTATTTTCTCAATGCAGATGTCTCGGAAGATTAATCATGCATGATCCTCTTGATGATCCATTGTTGAACCTGGCTCAGTTTTTTGGCAAAACTGAAGTACTTTTGGTTTCTCCTAACTCCTGAGAAAGATATCTGGGTCCACTCAGTTCATAAGCTAGTCACGTTCTTTGTCTTTATCTGTTTTATCTGAGCTTTCTTACTAAAAATGGCACAGGGTTGATGAGAGTGGAGAAAGTAAGAAAAACACTAAAGCTCCAGCCTGTCACATGAAATGAGCTGAATGAAGATAAAGCACGCTGTAGAAGTGTGGGGAACTGCAAAGTTGTCAATAAAGCGAGAAAATGCTAAATAAATACACACAGTCTTTGGCACTAGTAATTAAGATTTAACTAAATATTTGGGTCTCTTTATAAAATCTTATTCGGTTTAACGACGAAGAACGAAGAGCTGACACACATAAATAGAGAAGGAAAGAAGGATATGTGCGAAGTGAACTGAAGGCTTTTAATGAGGTATTTCTGTTCCCTCTACCTCAAAGTATTTCTCATTCAAATCATCCAGAACGTTTTCCATGTGATTATGTCTACCAGTGAATCAAGGTCATGCGGACATCTCTGCCTCTCTCTCTCTCTCTCTCTCTCTCTCTCTCTCTCTCTCTGCCTCTCTCTCTCTCTCTCTCTCTCTCTCCTCTCTCTCCTCTCTCTCTCTCTCTCTCTCTCTCTCTCTCTCTCTCTCTCTCTCTCTCTCTCTCTCTCTCTCTCTCTCTGCGCTTCCTCTTAGCCTACTACTCATGAGGCCATCAAAGCGGGTTTGTACTAGTAAAAACTATTTAATGAAGCGTATAAAAGCCATGCAGCAAATCAAGATAGTGTGCAGGAATGTGTGCATGTGTGTACGTTGCGCTGTCTTAGTAAGGCCCCTGTGTGTGATTTAACAGCGGAATACATTTAACACCTTGACAAAAATAGCAGATTTACCGTGACCGACCCACAACAGCATACAGTAAGCCCAGGGCTCACATAAATCCGCAGAAACCCAGGCACTCATTTGTTAAAGAGCAGATAGTGTGGATTCACAGCTCTTTCTTCTGTGTTCGGTGCCAAGCTCTGATTGCACGGCCAAAGGTGGGCTGTTCCTCTGGGATAGTATGTGTTCAGCAGCGCTTGTTATAAAGAAACAAGAGAGTGTAAATATCAGATAGTACACAAGCGCCGTCTGAAAGTTACCTTTTAGGCAAGGAAATAAGAAAGAGAAGGCTTGTTCTCTCTGTGATGGCCCCTTTCCTTTCCACCGTGTGAAGGAATTAGGGAGAATCGCTGCAGGAAAGCGGAACATAAACAACATTAGAGACAGGAAGAGACAGGTTAGGAGTACACTGTTCCTTTCTCCAGGGGATGGAAACAACTGCATTTGTATGTATGAACAGCACACCAATGAATGAGGAGATTGTTGAGTTGTTAGGATGAGAAGGCAATTACTAAAGCTGCACTCTGACTGAACCTTTCCACTACTACCTCAGTGTTTTCTCTTCAATTAGCTTCAAATAGACTCTCTCTAAAGTGATGACTGTTTTTTTAAATGGATTATATGAGATGAAAGGAGACGGGGTAGGTTTCTTAAATGTCCTCTGGATCTTTGTCGGTGACCACGGGACATTTACGCCGGCCTAATGGAAAACGTGTCGCGCTACACCATGTGACAGAGTGAGGGAAAGTGTCGGCCATTAAACGGTGTGATTGAGAGAAGGAGGGAGTGGGAGAAGGAAGAGAAGAAAGTCACGCCTTAATTAGTAATGGCATGGGTGTTGGATTTAAATGCAGGACTTTAATGGCCCTCTTTTATCACTCCTGCCAGACCAAGTCTCACACTGCCGACCAATTAATACACACACCCATGTATGCACACACTCAGCCCCTCAAACACACTTCTACCCCCAACGCCTGCAGACTCATGGATGAATTCACTCAGGCACAACCGTACACTGGCACGTGCAGGCCTCCCAACATCTGCCGCACACCCTGCCTCCTCAATATAAATCAGGAGTGGCCCTTGCGACCTGGAGCTAGCTGTTAAAATATATTGTGTGTATAGTTTTACTTTCTCTTTGTGTCTTTACCACTTCAACACCTTTTAGGGTTGAAGGTAGTTCAGCAGCTTTTAGACACATGGTGTCGTATTTTTTACCTCAGCTCACTTTTCTGTATTTTGGTTTTCCTGTTTTCGCGTTCATCTTTT